GTAAAATACGGTGCAGCATTAGTGGATGACAACAATACAACTGTGCCATATGGTAGTAGTCAAAGGGGACCAAAAGTTTTCAGGAACAGAGGCAGTGAGAGAGTACTGCCTTGGCAAAAGGAGAGTTTTCAATCAAAGCAACCTACGTAAGGAGCTGACTGATCAGTCAGAGGCAATGCAAGACAAGGCAGGTTTAAAAAAATAACTCTGGATTTAAGGCAGTATTTTATATGCTCTGGAAAATTATTCTTGAGGGTGCTCAACTGTTTTGTGATAACTTCCAAATTAATTTTGCAAGTAAAGTATTATTTTAATGGCAAAACCAGACAAGCACTCTCTACATCAGCAGCAATTAAGGTTGTGTATTAAACGCTATTCAGTGTATGCAGTTTCTTTGCTTTGAAAACTTCAGAGGAACTGCTAGAGGAACGCATTCTACATTGCTAAGTTAAAATTTAAGAAACAACTCGACAGAGTCTTACATAGCAAATCTGACAGAACCATGCCTGCTGAATCTTCCAATGGCAAAGTGTGAGACTTTCAGCTATAGAAACACTTTTGCTTAAAGTCAAAAATACCAGCTGTTAGTACTAAGTGTTAGGACAGAACTGCCATTTTGATCAGAAATGAATAATTCTGTTGCCCACTGAGTGACAAATCTATTTTGACCCTTGTGAATGATAGGAAGACAGAACCCAAAAGATGTATCATTATTAATATGCTACAAGTAATGAGCATTTTACAGGTAAACCATGAAACGTAATCATTTGTGAATGTTGCATAGTCACTGGACAGATTATTGGTGAGTGATAAGGGCAGCTGAACCACCAGTTAGAGTAAGAATACCTACCTTCTATTCTGATCATGTTTTGGATCTGGGATCTTCAAGCCCTTGTTAAATCTAAATCCTTTGATACCTTAATCTCTTGGATTTTTTTTTTGTGGATTGCGCTATATGCGAACATTAACTCAACTTGTAGGTGTAACACTGCAAATGATTTTTAGTTAATGTTAAATAAAACTGTCAGATTAGCAAGTGTTCTTTGTCACTGAATTAAATAGGTTTAGTTGTACTTTAAGAATGAATGGAATTGAGAGGGATGCTCTACTTAGAGGAGAGTCAAAATAAAGAGACTTAAAGCCCTGATTTGACTTGAAATTATTATGTGCTCATGCAGTGAATCATGTTGGTTTTTTTTTTAAAAAAAAAAAAAAGGGATTGAGAGAGTTTTGGTATTTTTGCATGTTGGCTACCTTTTTGTTAGTTTTGTAAGGCTGGTTTTCTGTGTCCTGCATTTCTGCTGGCTCTTACATTAGGGTAAAAATAGACCATGACAGCGGCTGTGTAAGCTGTGAATGACTCAAAAACTTATTTGTTGAAGATTAATCTAAGTCAAAAAATGTGTTGGGAAAGAACCAGAAGTGCAAAACTTGAGTGGTACTAGTTCAGGCAGAGTAGTACCAGGATTAAGAAAGGATTTATATGTAAATGAGTTGCATCTCAGTAAATGCAACTGAAAGTTTATATGACTTACCGGGAAGTTCAAAATCCAGAACTTTTAGATGAACAGTACAGATAATTACCATTTGAGGTAGCAAGTCAAATAGCACATAAGTTTCAAGAGTTGGCTTAACAGGAGAAGTGGATGCGATTTTCTTTTTAATAACTGGCACAACAATTTTGCTAGTCACCAAAGAATGTTGTGAATGAAAGTCCTGTTTCTTTGTGGTTCTATAATTGATAGGAGAAAAGCATTTTCAGAAATGGGCACACATTCAGTTTTCCACCTCTTTTGTGCAGGAGGGGGGTTGTTCCTTCCGCTACATTTTGTGTTTGTAACTGGCAAATACATGAATCCTGTATGAATGAGGAACGTTGCTCTATACTTAAAGTACGTCTTTCTCATGGGCAGTGGGGAATGAATGATATGCCATTGTCCCACTTGCTGGGACTGATGCAAAAACTGTAGTAGGAACTGAGATGATCTTCAGTATAGTTCATACCTGATGAGATCTAAGGTGCTGTGAAACATTATCAGTTGATGAGAGTATTCTGAGACTTTTAGAAGCAACCTTCCAAAACCCTTTCATGGTGAGTAGATGGTGTTTTTCAGGCAGATATGACTCAATCAGACCTTGAATAGCTTTCCCAAGGCATCCATATGATTCTAGCTGATCATAGATTCCTTTTTTCAAAATACGTAAATTTTCAGTTATTGAAGTAAAAGTATTGTAGAGAAAATTAGGTATTTCAGACAAATCTTGCTTTGCTGTAGGAAGGTACATGGGTACCTCGAAGTTTTTTTAATTTGGCAAAACTGATAAGTATATAATTAAAATGAAAATTGCTTGAACACCAATTCCAACTGTAATCCTTACCTTAGGAAATCTTTATTCATACTATGTATATATAGAAAACAGATGTTCACTTCTGTATAAAATTACCACATAAATTATGCAGCAATGTTAATAATTGAAGTGAAAAATATACTAACACTCATTCTTACAGTTTTGATCCTTCTACAATTATGACTTTAACTACAGTGTTTGTTTAGTTATTAATACTAATATATTAATATGATATTAATTAATATGATATTTTTCACATTATGAAGCCAATTCTGTGAAGTCTCTGGGAAATTTCAGATGTTTTATGACCAACCTTGTCGTGTCATTAGGGTCTTAAATTTTGTTCCTTTAGTCACAGTTGTTCTATGATTCTGAAGTTACACAAACTTGACACATTTAACATTTGTGCGGCTTAGTAAAGGATGTCATCAAGTTTTTGCTGCAAGAATAGATTTGGTGGGAGAGAATTGCTATGTGAGCTATTTAAAGAGTAAATGAGGAAGAATCTCAATTTTTAAAAGACCTTTCCTTAGCTTTTGCTTTGAATTTCTTGACACCTATTTGCCACTTAACACAGGAGATGTCTGCGTATTATTCACTGAATATTTAACAGCTAAAATCTTTTAGGCTTGATGTATACAGCATTATTTTTCATTGTTTTTTTTCCTGTCTAAACATTGTTTAGTATTCATAGTCTATTTCTTTCTTTTAGGGTGAACATATTAAAAATTTCCTTTAAAAGGAAAAAATTTTTTATACAACAACGGCAAAAACATGTAAGTAGTCATTTCATTTTCGTTTGCTCAAGTGGTCATGTTCAATTTTTTTTTTTGCCTAAATGTTAAGGCAACAAAAGGCTCTGTTGCGTTAACTTGCCTTTGAAATTCTGTTTTGTGAACTTGCCCTTGCTATTGTGGTCCTTTATGCTCGCTGTTTCCCATTTTTGTTTCCTTTCTAGCATGGAATCTTTTCAGATTCAGTCTGTTGGACTATATCTTACTCACGCAGGTTTCTTCTCCCTTGGAGACTTGGGGGAAATGCAGATCATCTTTTCTCCAGTATTTTGTAACCTAGCATATTTCCCTTTTCTTGCCAGCATCTGCTGCTCTTTTCGATGCTCTCCCTGCCCAGTAGAGTGCCTCACTGCAGTGAATCTACTAAACAGCTGCTTGTCCCATCTAAGAGGACTGTGTAAGGTCCCTTCTGCTTATGGGGCTCGGTTCTGGAAGAAAGGAAGGCACCTGGAGAAAAGGATAGGTCTGCAGCTGAAAGACATGAGGTTGGAAAGGGGGATAGTGCATCTCCTGCTGCGTGCAACATGGAGCACTTTAGAAGTTGGCAAAATATGTGAAGATAGTTGACAAAACTGATGCACAATAGAAGATTTTAGAGCAGTCTTCATAATGCTGTTTGCTTTTTGCAGACTTGTTGTAATATTAGGCTATTTAATAGAAAAAAAAATCTTGATTACAGTATTGTACTGCCATAATACGAACAGATAAACTAAGCTATCTTTTGAGCAAGAGAAGAGAATATTTAATATGACAGGAATAAATATGGAAATTAGTGACCAGCAGATATATAGATACTTTAATTCAGTTGAGGACAGAACTCAGATAGTAAAAGGTAAGTGTTAACTTATACCTAAACTTTATGAAGGCTCTTGATGAGTTCTTAAAGTGCTAGGAGCTGTGCTGCAAGAAGACCTCTTGACCCTCATCGATTAGAGGGGGTGCTGAACACAAGTTGCTAAGGAGGCTTTTTTTACCCAAAAGGAGAGTATTTTCATCTTTTCTTTTTTTTTTTCTTCTCCCCACCCCGCCCCTTGTTGGGTATCTCCCAAGTCTGAGGAGTGTGCATGTATGTACGCATTCCTAATTTTCAGGGCTCTTGTGTAAACAAAGTTAGTGTCTAGAGATAGTGTTACTGCACTAATGCTTACATACATAGCATGCACAAATGAAACTGTTTTCTCTTTTGAGAGAGCGTATCCTAACCCACCACAGAGGGGTCTTAAGTTTTCTGCAAGCTATAAGTTTCTAAATATATTGTTTATATGTAAACTTGTCTCAGTCTGTTCAACTGTATTTCACTGTATGAAGAAATGAGTGGTTGGCAAACCATTCTACTAGCTTGTGAGTGTAATTATATTTGCATTACACTCAGTGTAATTGTATGACACAAGTATTACCTTCTTCTAGGATTAAAAATTTACTGGTAAGGAACAAAACTCGGTGGTTAGTAACAATAGATGATGAGCATGCTTACAGGTTGGGTTTTTTTATTTTTTTTTTTTTTAATATGGAGGAATGAAGTGTCAATATGTAATAGTCACTGGACTCAAAGATCAAGTAAAATACGTGGGTTCATTGCATAAAGACTTTACTGCTGTCAGAAATTTAATTTCTCTTTCTGGAGATGTGTCACCTTTGAAGAGGGCAGCATTCTTAACATTTGTTCAATTAAGCTTTTGTTAAATGATGACAGTTCAAGGCCCTTGATTAATTTAATTAATCTCCTCTTAATTGATCATAGTTCTTTATTTCATAACCCACTGAGATTACAGTAATGCACACTGTATCGTGCTTAGAGAGTTACAGAAATGTGGGAAAAATAAGGCCAGCCACATGACCTTTTCACTCTTTCTCAGTAGATATGAAAAATCAGACCAGGTGTGCTATTAAATCTCCAGATGTGTCTGTCCTTGTCAGTTAGCCCCTTGTGCCTGAAATTTAGGGCAGCAAGTCTGCATGTCTGCAGTACTTTACTGTTGCTTGAAAAGCTTGCTGTTGCAATGTGATGGGAGTGAGGGGGCAGCTGGACTGCTAGGGGTTTTCTCCAGAATGGTGGCTCGCTTGAGGGGTTTGTGAAGGAAGATGACTGAGGTCATGTCAGTTTTTGGGTTTATCAGATTTTTGCTTGGAAGTGCAGGAGGGAATAGGTAAATGAGGCTGAAAGGAAGGTGGAAGAAGGTGGGGAAAGCAGAGCAGATGCTACATATTAGTAGGCAAGATTTTACTAAAGATGGCAACAGTGCTATAACATTTCAGAGTTTTATATGTCATATGTAGATTTCTTTGCAAAAATCTACAGAAAGTTCTCAAAGGCTATGAATTTGCAGTCATTGGGATGTGCCATGTTTCACTGATTTATTCTTATTTCTCTTACTCGTTTTTTTCTTTCCTTATGCCCCTGTTCTGAAGACTCAACTTACGTTATCTCACTGTTTCCCTGCTACTCACCTCCTCTTTCACCCTCCCACTGCTTCAGTCAGTTGATCAGCTACTTGATAAAGTATGCAATATTTCTGTTTCTATTGAAGAGCTACATAAGGACTGAGGAGCAAGACAGAATCAGTGAATGTCTGATGCTTTAAAAGGTCATGATATGTAGACTTAATGAAGGGTGCAAGATTTAAGGTAGGAATAGGAACTATACTAGTTTACAGGCAACATTTTAAAGCTTCCAGCAATGAAACTTTATACAGTGTCTTTCAAATCAACTTCCTTTTCTGCATATTAAAATAAGTTTTTACTTGCTATGTTGTACGCACTTTCAAATTCTGTGTGAATGGAATAGGCATATGTCTGATCAAAGTTCTTGCCTGATGCTGAAATAGCAAGAGACTCACTTTAGCTATTGAGAATTGTTCCATTAACCTTAATGGTCACAGATTTCTCTAATCCTCATTTCTTGATAACTATTAAAATAGCATTCTTTTGGAACTTGAGTTGAGAAATGTGATAGGCACTAAATCCTTGGATCCCAGTAGAACACTCTTCATCTTTAAAATGGTGTATCAATTTAATAGCACGATTTGCAAGGTGACCTATTAGTGAGCCTTATGGTTTTGTTAACAAAAGATTTTGTTAATTTAAAAATTGACTACATTCTTCTGAAACTTCTGAAAGTATTTTTCCTAGTATAAGCCCATATTTGGACTTTTAGCCTGCTTAGAAACTGTTAAGAAGGTTCAGTGACAACAGTTGGGAAGAAGGTACTTGTGGCTTAGAGAGCAAGATTCATTACTGTTTTCAAACCTAAATTTAAAAACAGAATATTAGATGTACTTAATTCCTTATCTTTACGCTATGGCTTTTCAGTATAATCGAGATGTTTGGATAATCTAATTTTTATGGGAACTGAAAGACCAGTACTCCAGGCTGACAAAAATAACTCTACATTTCCTTTTATTTGTCTGCTGGAGTAGTGTAAAGTGCTTCAGGTGGTTTTCAGCCAACAGGGGGTATGTAAGAAATGCTGTTTGTTGCTAAATCTTTAAGTGATGTGTGCTTTTTATATTGCAAGAAATTCTGAGTTAAAATTTCGCTATGCTTGCACACTTTATTTTATATAAGCGAATTAGAAGCAACTGTGGTGAACTGACAAAGATTAATTGGTTCCAGTACACATGATGCTCCAATAACAAACCCTACTTCTTTTAAAAAAAAAAAAAGTTTTAATAGATATGGGGAAAAACATGCCTGAAAGATTGCAATCCGGTAATGTTTTGCAGTGCCTATGTAAAATCAAGGGGCAAATCCTTTTTATCTTTCTCTTGAGAGTCTCATTGCTTTTCTAAAATAGTGACTTCAGTCATAGATTCTCTGAACTAGTCATCAAGTGACTTGCAGAATGAGGCATTGATCTCTGATACATGGCATTTGTAAAATGTTGCCTAGAAATAAAAAGAATACAAGAAAAACACGCTGATTATTGCAGCCAAAATGGTCTGTAGTTACTTCCCAGTAGGATTGTTGCTGTGAACAAGCAAAAGGACAATGGCAACTAGAAATCAAGGTGTTATCCAGGTGGGACCTCTTATTTCTTGCTAGACTGTATGAGAAAGAACTTTGTTAGGTCTGAGTCCTTTAATAAAAAGACTTTGCAACCCAAATCCTGACATTCTCCAAAGTATGAGTTAGAGAGCTTTCCTGAGATGGTTGCCCACCTAATTGTATGCTGATGTGTCAAAATTCAGTCATAATTCAGAACAGCTGGAAAAGGTGAGAAATGACATTGAAAACTTGCTTTTTTCACTGAAGTGCTGAGCTGTGATAGCAATTAACTCAGGTCTCATGTTATCTTGCTTTCTCCCCTTTACTTTACCTTTCATTCCACTTTCTTTGCATCAGTAACTATATTAACTAACTAAAGCTGTGTCTTGTGCAAAACTCTCTTGGGATCTGAAATAGCTCAACAAGTTCTGTAGTTGGTGAGGGCACAAATGTGGATGGCACAGTTGTGTTACACCTGTGTTTCACTGGGGCTTTGGCACTGAAGTTACAAATAAGAGTTTGTACCAAGACACACAAGCTTTGTATTCTGCTTCCTTTTGATCTCCTCATTGTGGCCTCATGTTATCATCCAGAAAGCAGGACTGGATTTGAACAGCAGTAGCAGCAGCTCCAGTCCCATCACAGCTACTTTCTTTCCCCCAAGATGGGTCACCGTTAACATCTTTAGTATCTCTTAAAAGACTATCAAGCAGATGCTTTTTGCATACTATGTCTCTTGAAAGAACATTATTGAATTGAAGCTTTATGTGAAGAGTTTGAATTCAAAGATTGAGGGTTTTTTCCTTTCTACATTGCACCCTTAATGGAATGTTTAAAAGAGTTTTGTTTGTCATAGGAGGTCAAGATCTGACTGGAAACCTGAAACTATATTTAGCCATTTTTTGTGGTTTAGCCCCAGCCAGCAACTAAGCACCACGCAGCCGCTCGCTCGCTCACTCCCCCTACCCCGATGGGATGGGGGAGAGAATCGGAGGAGTAAGAGTGAGAAACACTCCTGGGTTGAGATAAGAACAGTTTAATAATTGAAATAAATTAAAATAGTAATGATGATAATAATAACAATAATAATATAGAAAGCAAGTGATGCACAATGCAATTGCTTATCACCTGCTGACCGATACCCAGACAGTTCCCGAGCAGCGATCGCTGCTCCCCGGCCAAACCCCCCCAGTTTATATACTGAGCATGACGTCACATGGTATGGAATAGCCCTTGGGTCAGTTTGGATCAACTATTCTGGCCGTGCCCCCTCCCAGTTTCTTGTGCACCTGGCAGGGCATGGGAAGCTGAAAAGTCCTTGACTAGCATAAGCAGTACTTAGCAACAACTAAAAACATCAGTGTGTTATCAACATTCTCCTCCTACTAAATCCAAAACACAGCACTATGCCTGCTACTAGGAAGAAAATTAACTCTATCCCAGCCGAAACCAGGACACCATTTAATATTACGGTCATATATACAAAATCTTTACCACTCTAGACTTAAATATTTCATTAACGCTGTAAGGATTAGGAACTGAAAAACTTAATAATTTTCCAGTATTGCTTAAACTTTTAGAGTGTCTGTTTTGCAGTTTAGAATTTCATATAGTCACAGGGCTATTCTTGCCATCTCCAGCTCAAAATCTACTATACACTGGTTTTTTTTGTTTTCCTAAATGCATTTTTCCTATTTAAGCTAAAAGTAATTTCATTGTTGTTTTATGAGGTTGTTTACTGTGTTTGGTCTGCTTGTATATATTGAAACATGGTATTTCGTACTGTTACAGAATGAATCCAGAGAACATATTGTTGCCTTCAACATGTTAAATTACAGAGCATGCAAAAATCTGTGGAAATCTTGTGTAGAGCATCACACGTTTTTTCAGGCAAAGAAGTCACTACCTCATGAAAAAAAGATACTGTCACATTATTGGACCCTGGGTTCTAGAAATCCAGCAAAGTAAGTATTCTGTGAAAGCATGTTTTGCATTGTAATGGGAACAGGAAGATTTGTGTCAGTGATAGCTGGAGTGGCAGAGTTCAGTTCTGCCCACAGCTGTGTCCCGGTCTGTATGTGAACCATTTGACAAGTTATATAGCTGTGGTTTTAGTTTTGCAATGTGGTGTCATTACAATACAACTTTTCTTATAATTTCCTAAAAAGGTGTTTGAATGTAAGTGTGTTTCACTGGTATTGTTTCAGCTTGCTGTTTCAGTTTGAGGTACAAAAACACTAGAAAGTAAAAATGTCATGTAGCTAATGATCCAGTAAAAGAATTTGCATAACAGAGTTGTTTTGAACTGTTGACCCCTTAGTGTCGTATACACACTGTTTAATAATGTTAGGGCAATTTCTGTAGTGCATCATACCAACCAGTTATTACTGACATCGAGATAAAAAACTTTGTCCCATCCAAGTATTCAAGATAGCACTTTTGTGACACTTCTAATCTTTTATTTGCCTTGTTGGGTTCTGCTAGTCATGGAGCTGGTAGTTTCATAGTGGTATCTAAGATCTATCTCCCCAAAGGTAATACTTCAGAGCCTGTCATTTTGCTATATGAAGTTGGGATTGTTCTTTCCCATATGCACCAACTGGGCCCTAACTGCATTAAACGTCATCTGCCAGTTTATTGTCTTGTCACTTGACATTGTAATGTCCTTCTGCATTTCTTCACAATTGACCTTTATTTTTCCCATCCTGTGTGATTAATATCTTCAGCAAACTTTGTTCACTCTTCTCCCTAGATCACTAGTGAATATGTTGGACAGAAGAGCCCCCAACAGATATCCCTCTAAGACTTCACTGCTGATCTTTTTTCACTATAAATCTAAAACATTTTTTCCTATTCTCTCTTTTATGTCACAAGTGAACAGGTAATTAATTCCTCCAAGTGAAGACCCTATTTCCTAGCTCCTTAGTTTCTTTATGGGTTTAAGGGACCTTGTCAAATGTCTTTTTGAAGTCTTGAGTAGACTAAATCACTAGTGTAAAGTGAGAGGTTATACGCAAGTAGTTTTGCTGATTCATTTTAGAGTCTTTTAGATTTTTATAAGTATCAGTCCCAGTGATTTCTTTCATTAAATTAATTTGTTCTGTTGTTTCATTTATCAGCAATTCAGCTACAAAAGTGTCATGTCATGTGTTGTCATAGTCTTGTCTGTGTCCCGTCCCCACCCCACTCCTGAAAAAAAATTATGTCATGAAACATATCAAAAATCTTTCATATTAATTGTGAATGAAAAAGTAAGTGTCATGACACTTCTCCGAATGTGAGATTTTGGAGGGTTCTTTGGTCCTTTGATCATCTGTAGTCTCTGTAGACTCTCTAGGAACCTGCTTGTTCTGATGATTTTTGGAGAAGTATTTTATTGTTTTCTTTTTGTGTGTGGGTGGTGGTTGTTTGTGGATGTTTTGCAGTGTGTTCCCCTAACAATTTAACTTTATATTTAATTTGTCAGACTGATTCTCTCTTTCCTATTTGGATATGCTTCAACTTTTGAATTATGTCATCACACTTCAAATAGCTTCCCAGACTTCGGTGGCTGGCTGGCTTTTCATATTGTCATGTCTCTAGACACTGCAGAAATTCATACCAAGTGGACTTGTCTTGCTTGTAAATGAAGCAGTTAACCTATGAGGGGTGTCCAACAATAAGATGACTGATAAAATGTTATGTTTTCTGCTGGAGTGTAATTCTGTATTTTCACCTGGTACTAGATCATAGCTGAAGCGAGTGAAAATAAGTAGTTGTATGAACAGTAATCTAGTTTTCTAACACTTTACAGATCCGTATTTTGAGAATTCACCTCCTCTTTGGGTGATATGAACTTGTTGTTCCTATAGTGAAGATTTTGAGGAGGTAACTTTCTCGGAGCTTGTAGGATTGTCACATCCTGGAGTCCTTTATTTCTCTCAGATTTACAGACAGATTCAAAATCCTGATGCTTTTATATACATATGCACACACAGGCATTGCACAGCCCTTGCAATCATAGAATGCTTTGGGTTGGAAGGGACCTTTAGGAGGTCATCTAGCCCAACCCCCCTGCAGGGAGCAGGGACAGCTTTAACCAGATCAGGTTGCTCAGAGCCCCGTCCAGCCTGACCTTGAATGTTTCCAGGGATGGGGCCTCCACTACCTCTCTGGGCAGTACAAGTTCCAAAGGGTACTAGTTTAGTATCATTCAAATTTTTATCAAATATTTGAATTTTGACAAATTTGACTGTTACAATTTCTTAATAGCCTGTAGCATGCAGGATAGTTCTTATTGTTGAACTGAGTTACTAAGAAGGACTTCTTTTCAAGTAACTTCATGTTCTGAGGTATTACCTCTAGTCAACTGCTTATTTAGGCTCTTAAGGAATCTCTAGGGAGAACTGTTCATTGTGATATCTTCCATCAGCTTAATGATATCCTCTGTATTAATGCATTCTTTGGCCATCTTTGTGCCAGCAACAAGCGTGAACTTTAGGATCTATGTGAGGCAGAAATGACTCAGCAACCTTTACTGTCAGAGATTGCTAAAGTACAATAAGAAGCAATAGTAATTTTGGGAAACTTTCAGTAGTTCCTATCAACTTGGTCACTGTCACTCAGCAAATTATTTTCTCAAAAGATTTAAGAAAAGGTGTGAACAAGTCACTTCTGAAATCATCAGTCATATATTGAAAATTTTCAGTTTTCTACTTGTTTGTGATTGTGGAATGTTGTAAGAGACAACATGAGCTTCCACGTTCCTTTTCAAGGATGACTCTGAGCTCATGTGGAAGCTACGCAACAAAAAAAAGGGATTCTGTGTTCTCCCTTATGAAAGAGAACAAAACTTTGCATTGGTAAAACAAACAAAACCAACCAACCAAAAAAAAAAAAAAAACCCTAAAAACCCCACAAAACCCCCACCAACCACACTATACAACCCTGGAGGTTTTAAGATTGACTTGTCTTCAATTCATCCAACTTCTGTCAGCTTTGAAGGGGGTTACATTCAGGTTTTACCACCTTAAGTATCACAAGCTTTCCTCTGGAATTTGTAGCTTTTTTGTACTATGTTCTTTTACACTCGTGAGGCAGATATAGCAGCATCTATTGCATCAGTTCAAATAGCAGATATAGTAGCATCTATTGCATCAGTTCAAAGAGCTGAACTCTTGCAACCCTTTAGTACAGTTTCCTATTTGCATGTCTCTGTGCCCTTCTAGATTCTCTTAGCTTAAGGTACTAGTGGAATTCCATTTAAATTAGGCTGCCAAGTTGTATAAATCACCTGTAAGGCTTATTCTAGGGGCAGGCTGAATCACATCTCCCAGATTCTGAGAGCTCTCTCAATGTTTCTGGACTGAATGCTGAATAACCTGTCCTAGGCACATTCTCATTCCTTGCTGAAAAGCTAAAAATGTACCTATTTTTTCACAAAGGATAACCTTGGTAATAAATGGGAGCAAGGAACTGTCACCTCAAGATATTACAGCCCATTCCAGAAAGGCATTAGCAGCCTTTCAGTATGTTTGCTGAGAAATATCCTTGTATTTGATATCTGAAGAGCAGCTACTTGGATTTCAGGAGATTGTTTGTTTTGTACCTTCACTGAAATATCCAGAGAATATGTTGTTAAAGTGATTCTGTGGTCAGGGTTTGAGGTTAGGGCTCTGGCTTCTATCACATGAGTTACATTGCACCTCAAAAGTCACCTGCATTGGAAGATGCATGAACAGGCACTTGTAAAAAAAGGAAAACTGACTAATGCAAAAATGTGGAATTCTTCAAGATACATTTTTTGTAATACATCCTCTTTTTCCACTCTCCCTCTCTGCTCCACCTGTGTAAGGCTTCTTTGAAAGAACTCCTTGTTTTTGTAGAGGACCAGAGCAGTTGGTGCTTTGTCATTGGTATTCAGAAGACTTACAGAAATAAAATGGGTAATACAGGCAAAAGCTTCTCCTGACTTCATGGACTGTGTGTTTACTAAGCTTAAAAACATGCATGGGTAACTGATTTTGATATGTAGACACTTCATATTAAGTTTTCCCTCTTTGTGTTTTGAACTGGGAGAAGCTTTAAAAGCACACATTTAGAAGATGAAGGAATTAATTGGCTTTAATATAATGAACAAGATATATAAAATACTTCAGAATATAAAAAAGTTTTGGATTGCTTTTTCTGTTTTGCTTGTATAAACAAAAAGCAGTACAATGCAAAGCCATACTTAAGGTTTGATATTAGCACAAGTAATATCCACAGCATAAACAACTTCAACCTTTTTTTTTTGTTATGCTATGTAAAACTGAGACATTTCAGCTCTATAGTAAAGTCCTCACACACACTGCTATCCCAGCCACCCATTTTATACAGCTCAGGACTTTGTGAGCCAAAGATGGTTTCTCTGTAACTCATAAATTGCTTCTTTTCCGTGAGAAATCCTAGGCCTGTAAACTTGAGGATGAGCAGCTTATCTCTCTGCTTGTCTTGTGGAATGCTGTGTAAAAAAGATGCATAAAATTTAGTTTATTTCAATTCTGATCTACTTTAAAAATTTCTTTATGCTGTATACTTCCACTAGTAAGATATTTTTATTGCTTTCCTAGCTGAGGTTCTGATTCTGATGCAACCCTTGTCTTGTCAGGTTCTTGTCACAAGAAGCAGTCCAGACTTGGAGATCCCCTTTTCATGTCAGATCTTTCTCTAATGCTTTATTCCTATAAGGAACACATCACTCAAATGTGGCTTCCTTCCGGAAATAGAGAATGATCTGGTGTAGCTCTTACTTGCTGAGGCAGCAGGTAGATGGTTAAAGTAGTCCTGTGCTCAGTGAAGCCATTAGTGAATTATGAGTTTTAACAGGGAACATCTAGAACATCTAGAATCCTTTGCCTGTATCTGAACCATGTTTTGTCAGGCACTCAGTTCAGTGCCAATAGGACATACTGAATTTCCTGTTTTCCCCTCCATCTTCTTAAACACAATTGGGTTAAAAATAACTCTCAGAAAAAGTTATTTTTACCCAGGCTTGTGATTAACATTGCAGCAGGGATTAACAAACAGTTTTATTGCCACAAGTGAAGGACAGTAAATGGCCCTGTGAGAATGCAAACACATAAGTAAGGAGGGGTAAGCACAGGGGACTCTTTAAAACAAATTAATTATAAAATTGGCTTTTGTAAGCATATTTTATTTCATTTAAGTTTTCTATGCAAAATAATTCACGTACAATTTTTTTATTTCTTTTCAGGTCTGTAAACAGCCAGTACTGCAGAAAAGTTATAGGTGGAATGGTTTGGAACCCATCTATGAGACGATCTGTATCTGTTGAACATCTAGAGACCAAAAGCCTTCCTTCTCGATCACCTCCTGTTACGCCTAATTGGTAAATCCAGTTTCAGCCTTTCCCATACCTTCCAGCCTCCTACCTTTTCTAATTGTATGTAGTCTAGCAGAATAATTTATGTAGTGTGTACATATACATTCTCAGATAACAATGTTTAAATATGTATGATAACAGGAGAAGAGTGGGTGTCACTTACCTCGACTTTAGCAAGGCTTTTGGTACTGTCTGCCAAAATACTATACCCAAGTTAAGGCATAATGTTTGGGAAGGGTGGACAACAAAATGTGGGTTTTATTTTGTTTTTTTTAAAAAAAAAAATGGTTGGATGGCTGGACTCGGAGGGGAGTTATTTGTTAATGGGTCATGCTCTACCTTGAGGCCAAATAACAAGCGGAGTACTGCAGGGGTCTATCTTGGGACCTGTCCTGCTTAACATCTTTATGACCTGGAGGGGGCAATGGAGTGCTTGCTCATAAAGTTTGCAGATGACACCAAACAGTTGGAGTGAGTCAATAAGCTTGGGGGCAGGGCTGCTGTCCAAAGGGACCTTGGTAGTCTGGAGAAATGGGACAATAGGAACTCTATGAAATTCAGTGAAGACAAATGCAAAGTCTCGGAAGGAAGAACCCAATATCCAGTATTGTCTGCGATGCAACTCTCTGGAGAAGAACCTGGTAACCTTTGTAGGCACAAAGTTGTACATGAGCTATCTGGTGTGCCCTGGCAGCAAGACAGCCACAGCAACCTGGCGGTATTAACAGAAGCATAGATGGTAGATCAAAGGAAGTGATTATCCTCCTTTAGCTCAGCATTTATTAGACCTTATTAGAATGCTGCAGCCACTTTTGTGTCCATTAATAGAAGAAAGACACTGACAAACTGGAGTGAGCTCAGCAAAGGCTGCCAGCCACCAAGGTAGTCAGGAGCCTGGAGCACTTACCCTATGAGGAAAGGCTGAGACAATGTCACTTGTTCAGCCTGGAGAACCAAGGGTTTCCTGCATGCCTAATAACAGCCTATAGCAATACTTAGGAGGAGGCTAGCTAGAGGATGAGGACAGGTTCTTTTAGTGTTGCCTGGTGGGAGGATGAGGCAACAGGTATCTTGAAACAGGAGAGGCTTTATCTGGACATAATGAAAACTGCTTCACCACAAGGACAGTTGAGCAGTGGCTGCTTAGAGAAGCTGTGCAGTCTCTGTCCTTCAAGTTTTTTGAGATCTGACTGGATATAAGCAGCCTGCTTTGAACAGGAGGTTGGACTAGATGACCTCCATATATCCCTTCCAACCTGAATTATCCTATGATTAGAACTTTAACAACACAGGTAACATTTTAGGGGGGAGGGGGCGAGGGAACAGATCAGTTCAGTGTGTGGAACCTAGGAGTGTACGATTGCCTAGTATGCCATACCAAATGTTTAAAAATTAATTCTTTAAAGACCTATAGGCCTGTTATGAAGATCTCTGGACTTAGATTGCAATAGGATAAAAATTTCACTCTGATGAAGTTTTATGAATTATTCTGATCTTCCAACTTGTGTTTGTGTTCCTTATTTTTAAGGCGGAGTCCTAGACTACGTCATGAAATTCGTAAACCACGACACTCATCTGTAGATAACCTTACAAATGAGATTAGTTATATTACTGAAACGGAGGATGTTTTTTATACATATAAGGGCTCTCCGACATCAAAGGACAGTGATTCGGAGTTCTCTCAGAACCGTAGTCCACAGAGGAGGTGAGGACTTCTGCAAACAATTCATTGCCTGTTTTGATTTTTTTTTAAAAAAGACACCAAACAAAAAAACAAACAGCTTTAGTATAAAACAGTCATCATTGGTTATAATATCAAAATGAGTTCAAACAGGTTTATGTTTGCATAAACTTTATTTTGACAAATTGCTGAACTGCAAATGCCATGATACAAAATGACGTTAAAAACAAACCAGCCCTTTTTCCCTAAACAATTCTCAGCAGTTGAGTTCTCGGTAAAATAAAAGAAGCTATTAAAGGCATGCCTGTTCATATCTGTAATATCCTGTTTCCTAATAGCTTCTGCATCCCTTTCTTACCTGTTACAAACTCTTCTTTTTTTTTG